CTGGACCTGTCTTGAGCCCCAGCCCCGTAAGTCCAGTGGCATCCGCAGCTGGAGGTCTTGTGAGCCCCTCAAACTTACCGTGGCCCCACGTGGGCTCACCCTCCTGCCTTCTCACCCTCTTCTTGTCCTGAGCCCCTTGACTTCTACTCAGGTCCCAAGCCCAAAGCCTAGACCCTCCTCACCCTCCCTGCCCACACCTTCTCCATCCAGCATATCAGTCAGCTGCGTGACCTCTGTCCCCTCAGCCTCTTCCAATAGCCTGGCCCTGAGTCACCCTCTCCATCTCCTGTCCACCCCTCTCTCCATCTCCCAGTCCAAGGAACAGCCCCCTTCAGGGACTCCCCTGCAGCCCTCATGACCAGCTCCTCCTGCTTCACCCGCCTTACTTCCCCCCACCACAGTAGTGTGGCCAGGCTCAGCAAGAAGCCAAGTCTAGGAACCAAAAGGTGTCAGCTCCAGGTGTGGGGAATGAAGCTGTAAAGGCAGATGCTCACCTGCCTCTACATCTGCAACACACAAGAGTGACACACAGGTGTAGCACACAGGTGTGACACAGGCACAAGTGGCAGGTGATACAAGCTTATTCATCAGACGGCCAGGCACCAGGAAGCTGGGGGCAGGGGTGGGGATGGGCTGTGAACTGGAGCCCAGGGGGCTCCTCCAAATCCACTCAGTTCAGTCTCGGACCCTCCTTTGCCTCCTGGGTCCCTCCACCGATGCCTCTCTCCTTTGGAAATTCAACTCCCATCTTCCCACCTCCTCTCTCTCGTCCCCCTTCCTCAGATTCTCCTTCTCTTGCCTTCCCATCAGCCCCAGGCCCATCCCCAGCCCTCTGGGCCTCAATTTCCCCCACTGCATAATGGGGATAACGTAAGTAAGTATCTCCTGCCCTGAGGTGCTGTGGGAATTCCATAACCTTCTTGCATGATGTCTGGTGTGCAGGGCTGACAGTGGCTTGAACCATGGAGGGACCAGATGTGATCAGGCCCCAGGCCTTCACCTGCCCTCATGTCAGTAACACACCCCATGGCTGCCACATCCCCAAGCCCTGCCACAGACTGTTTCCTCCTCACTCAGAGATGCCTCACGTTTTCTTTCTCCATCCGAAATCACTAACCCATCGCTCTCAAAAGCTGAGCTCAGCCTGGGCGTGGTGGCTGACACCTGTAATCTTAGCACTTTGGGAGGCCGAGGTAGGTGGGTCACTTGAGGTCAGGAGTTCAAGACCAGCCTGACCAACATGGTGAAACCCCATCTCTACTAAAACTACAAAAATCAGCTGGGCATGATGGCGGGTGCCTGTAATCCCAGCTACTCGGGAGGCTGAAGCAGGAGAATCGCTGGAACCCAGGAGGCGGAGGTTGCAGTGAGCCGAGATCGCCCCATTGCACTCCAGCCTGGGCAACAGAGCAAGACTCCGTCTCAAAAAAATAAATAAAATTAAAACAAAGCTGAGCTCAAATCTAAGCCTGGGCAGAAGTAACCTTCCCTCCTTGCCCTGCCAGAGTTCCCTAGGCTGGTGCCGGTATTCACTTAGAGAGCGTGCCTGGAGAGGTCGCTGTGGGTTGGCCTCTATTCAAAGCACTACACTAGTAGTGACTCATTTAATCCTCACAGAAACTCTTGTGAGGGCTGTACTGTAATCCCTTCACAGATGTGGCTTGGAGGCACAGAGAAGTCAAGCAATTGTCCAAGGCCACACAGAACGGGACAAAGCCAGGACTTGAATCCCCGCAGTTTGGCCCCAGGTCTTTGCTCTTCACTACTCAATACGCTGTTTGTCCGCTAGCAGAGGCGTGTGGGAATTGTAATGACAAAGCGGCCTACTGAGCACCCATTCTGTGCCAGGCGCCATGCTGACCACTGCGCGTGGTTAACGTGCCGGACCTCCCCACACCGAGTCGTTGGCCGCGTGTGGGTTCACATCCGAGCCCAGCGCTTGCATCCAAGCCTCAGCACTGGCTCACTGGCAAGAGCACACTGTGGCCCTCACTGCCTGGAGTGACTCATGCCCTCACCCTGTCCAGCACCAGTTTGGCTCCGGGGACTGTTGGCTGGACTTCCCTAGGGATGTAGTCGGAGTCTGTAGCATCTTTCAGCTGCATCATTTAACCCAGTGTCTGCCATAACAAAAAATCACAGACTGGTGGTCTAAACAGCAGACAGTTCGTTTCTCACAGCTCTAAAGGCCAGAAATCCAAGGCTGGCTGGTGGGTTTCCTCCTGAGGCTCTCTCCTAGGTCTGTCGGCCCCTCCTCCTCCTATGACCTCCAGTGGTCATTCCTCTGCATGTCTGTGTCCTCATTTCTTCTTCTTAGGACACCAGTCATATAGGATTAGGGCCTACTCCTCTGACCTCATTTTACCTTAGTCACCTCTTTAAAGACCTTGTCTCCAAATACAGCTGCATTCCAAGGTACTAGGGGTTAGGGACATCAATATGTGATTTTCAGTGGATACAGTTCAGCCTATGACACCCAGGGTTTCAAACTCAAGTGCCGATGGGCCAGACAAGAATGCCTGTGAATGAATTGGGCTGGGAAAGACTTGGCCTCTTCATTCATTTGTTCTCATTTTTGAGGGAGACACTGGTAAAAATATCTCATTTTCCTCTTTACTGTGTGAAATACAAGGACATGAACATTTGTTCTTGGCCGTATCCTAGCTTCCTAGAACAAGTGCCTGGCTCCCAGTAAATGCTCAGTAAATCTGCTGAGCAAGAGAATGCACAGAGCAGCCCTGGACATTGGGGAGTGGCGGGGACCATGATGAGTCCCAGCCAGGGGGTCAGCAGGCACTTGGCTCCAGCCAACTGTTGTCCAATCTCCCGGAATCCAGACTTATATACATCTGTTTTTCAATGCTAGCAACTAATTCACAAAAACTACAACCATCCTGCAGACCTGTTTGTAGCCACTGCCATCTGCCTAGGGTGCCCACCCTAGGCCAGCAGAGCAAGGCCTCCCCCAGCTCAGCCTGGGGGAGCTGGGCTCGTACCCGGGAGACAGGAAGCCTGGGGGCTGAGACTGGTGCACCCAGCCACTCAGGGCCCCACCACCCCTGGTTGCCTCTGCAGGAAGGCGATGCGCTGGGCACCATGGAGAAGCTGTGCCGGCAGCTGACATACCACCTCAGCCCCCACTCCCAGTGGAGGCGGCACCGGGGACTGGTGAAAAGGAAGCCACAGGCTTGGTGAGTTACAGTCCCCTGGGTGGGTCTATGCCAGGCTGAGTGTGTGATACAGGGCGCCCCTCTCAGGGATGTAGGGAAGGGAAGGGCGGGAGTCATGGGGGGCGGTCATAGAAGCTGCCTGAAAGAGGTAAGATGGAAGGAGGATTCCAGGATGGGGAAACAGCTAGAGGGGGACCCTGGTCTGGTGGGTGGGAGCTGGGGAGTATGGGCCCACTGAGATGGGATGGGCAGGAGGAAGATTTGAGAAATTTCTAATTCCTGGTGTGCTAAAGTGGGCACTCCCTGCCAAGCACAGTGTTTGGCTCATGCCTGTAACCCCAGCACTTTGGGAGGCTGACGCAGGTGGATCACTTGAGGTCAGGAGTTCGAGATCAGCCTGACCAACATGGCGAAACCCTGTAAAAGTTCAAAAATTAGCCAGGCGTGGTGGCATACACCTGTAATCCCAGTTTCTTAGGAGGCTGAAGCAGGAGAATCACTTGAACCAAGGAGGCGGAGGTTGCAGTGAGCAGAGATGGCGCCACTGCACTCCAGCCTGGGCAACAGAGCACTCCCTACTGAACTCCTCAGTTATCTCGGATGTCCTCAGAGGGACCCAGACCCCAGCCATGTCCCTGGTCCATACAGCAACAAGGGGGTTCAGAGTCCCTTGAAAATTGGTAGGGGTTGAGGGGCAAATAGGACACAGAACCTGTGGGCTGTGATAACACTGTAGGAAGCAAGTAGAGGGGAGCCTGGAAGGAAGGCTTCCTGGAGGAGGAAGCACACCTGTCTTTTTGCAAATGGTAGCCCAGTGGTGTGCCTTCACAAAGACTCTGGCAAGGCCTTGGTGCTGCTGTTAGCTCATCCCAGCAGCTCTCTGCAGGCTGGGGAGGGAGGGGCTGTCCCCTTCCCTCATGAAGAAGAAAGAACTCTGGTGCCTCCTTCTGTTCTGGACCCGCTCCCCACCCCCGCCCACAACCAGGAGATGGATCCTGGAGAGGCCCATTCCCAGGTGGATGAAGAGTGTAAGGCTGTCCTGGTGTTGGCCACGGGAGGGGCTCCACCTGGGTAGAGGGGACATATATGGGGATACAGCAAGACAGGGGGCCCTTGGAACCTGAAAAGCCATGAGGAGACTGAGCTAGTTCTTTAGCATTGGAAAGCTGGAAGTTTGAGCTCTGCTGGAAGGGCCTCTCCTGGTTCCCCACACACACGCATGCTCAGTCTATTCTTCATTCGGAAGCCATGTCATGAGGTCTCATTCCCCTCGGGTGGAATCTCATGGCAGCTGAATGAAATTCAAGCATGGGCCTCTGATTTGCCCTCCTCGCCCCCTGGTCTCACCTCCTGCTCTCCCACCCCAGCCACACTGGCCTTCCTGCTGGTTCACAGACACACCAGGCCCTTTCCAGCCTCGGGGCCTTTGTGCCCTCTGCTGGAACCTTCAGCAAACTCTTCTGATGGCCCATGCTTGCTTTTTCATGTGTCAGTTCACACATTACCTTCTCCTGAGTAGCCACAGCCCCACGCTACTATGTCGCCCCACACTCACATGGTTTTGTGTGTGGTCTGTCTCCCCCAGTAGAGGAAGAACAGGGATTTTGTCCATCCTGTTCACCACTGTGACCCTAGTGTCTAGGATACTGCCTGGCACACAGGTGAGTTTAACACATGTTTGTTAAAAGAACAAATGGGCCGGGCACGGTGGCTCACGCCTATAATCCCAGCACTTTGGGAGGCCGAGATGGGCGGATCACCTGAAGTAGAAAGTTCAAGACCAGCCTGGCCAACATAGTGAAACCCTGTCTCTACTAAAAATAAAAAAATTAGCTGGGCATGATAGTGCACACCTGTAATCCCAGCTACTCAGGAGGCTGAGGCAGGAGAAACACTTGAACCTGGGAGGCAGAGGTTGCAGCGAGCCAAGATCGCGCCATTGCACTCCCCTCTGGGCAAGAGTGAGACTGTCTCCAAAAAACAAAAAGCAACAAATTGGGGAGGAGATATCACTGTTGTCAATTGACTGGTTAGGATCACCCAGCTGGTAAGCGGTGGGGCTGAATTCAAACCCAGCTCAGGCTATTCACTACCACACTGCTTCCCTGGTGGAATGGCATCGATAATAGCACCAACACTTAAATCAAGCTGCACAGATGGCTGACAGCATTCCAAGCATTTAAATGTCACGCCTTGAGAGCTTTACCTTCCAGCTCCCTGGGGCTGGACCCCAGTCAGAATCAAAATGAACAAACTGTGGACAGCCTCCCAGCTTAGATCTCAAGGACGAATGTGCCCTGTGTTGCCAGGAAGTACAGGCCATGACCCTTGAGCTGCTGACAGTAGCATATGCTCTTGGAGCGGGCTGGGAGCCCCCTCCACCTCCCTCTCCTTCCCAGCACACTTAGAAATGCAGAAAATGGGGCTGGGCACCGGGGCTCACGCCTGTAATCCCAGCACTTTGGGAGGCCGAGGTGAGGGCACCATGGCTCACGCCTGTAATCCCAGCACTTTGGGAGGCCGAGGTGGGCTGATCATGAGGTCAGGAGACCGAGACCATCCTGGCTAACACAGTGAAACCCCGTCTCTACTAAAAATACAAAAAAAGTAGCCAGCCGTGGTGGCACACGCCTGTAGTCCCAGCTACTCGGGAGGCTGAGGCAGGAGAATTGCTTGAACCCGGGAGGCAGAGGTTGCAGTGAGCCAAAATGGTGCCACTGCACTCCAGCCTGGGTGACAGAATAAAACTCCATCTCAAAAAAGAAAAAAAAAGAAATGCAGAAAATGGCCAGGCATGTTGGCTCATGCCTGTAATCCCAACACTTTGGGAGGCCAAGATGGGTGGATTACCTGAGGTCAGGAGTTCCAGACCAGCCGGGCCAACATGGTGAAACCCTGTCTCTACTAAAAATATAAAAATTAGCCAGGCATGTTGGCAGATGCCTGTAATCCCAGCTACTCAGGAAGCTGAGGCAGGAGAATCGCTTGAGCCTGGGAGGCAGAGGGTGCAGTGAACCAAGATCGTGCCATTGTATTCCAGCCTGGGCGACAGTGAGACTGTCTCCAAAAAAAAAAGAGAAAGAAAAGAAATGCGGAAAATGAACATCTCACCTCTGCACCTGGGCCTGGAGCCAGCAGACAGACAGCGGGGGTGGGGTGGGAGGTGGAGGTGTGCCGGGAAAGGCACACTTGCCTTCAGCTTGAACTGCTTGGGGTCTGTCCCAAGAGCAAGCAGGAGAAGCAAGGAGTAAGGCACTCAGCCTCCAGGAGTCAGCAGCTGCCACCAGGCTCAGAGCCCCTGAGCCCTGCCCTGCCTGCTGTCTTACTGGCTCCTCCTAGGGAATCCTTCTCGGTGGGGAAGATGGTCTTGAAAGAGGGGACTCAGATATCCTTTGTGCCATTCATGGGAGCTGAGCTGCCACCCAAGGGTGGTAGAAGTGGGAAGCTGAGTCGAAGTGATGAATACAGCAGCAAATGTTTATTCATCACTCACCTATACAAGGCACTATTTTGCACTTATGAACTTATTTCATGTAACAGCCCAATGGTACTCTTAACTCAATTTTTCTGGTAAATGAGGGCAGCCATATACCTCAGGCTATGGCCAGCTGGGCCCTGACAGCTGAGATGTGCAGCAACGTCAGGGGACTGAGGTCCCTGGTTACGTCCACCTCTGCACTTGTGGCGTCCGAACTTCCAAGCGTTTCGTAAAAGCGGTCCCTAGTGTCAGAGAGCCGAGCAGAGGCTGGCACTGCAGCTTCTGGGGGAAAGGCCTGCCCCATGTGCCTGAGCCTTCCTTGTCCCTTTTCCCTTCAGCCTCAAGGCTGTCCTGGCCGGGAGCCCCCCAGACAACACAGTGGACCTGTCGGGCATCCCACTGACCTCCCGAGACCTGGAGCGGGTGACCAGCTACCTACAGCGCTGTGGGGAGCAGGTGGACAGCGTGGAGCTGGGCTTCACAGGCCTCACGGATGACATGGTCCTGCAGCTGCTGCCGGCGCTCAGCACCCTGCCCCGCCTCACCACACTGGCACTCAATGGCAACCGGCTGACCCGGGCTGTGCTGCGCGACCTCACTGACATCCTTAAGGATCCCAGCAAGTTCCCCAATGTCACGTGGATTGACCTGGGCAACAACGTGGACATCTTCTCCTTGCCCCAGCCCTTCCTGCTCAGCCTGCGCAAGCGCTCACCAAAGCAGGGCCACCTACCCACCATCCTGGAGCTGGGTGAGGGCCCGGGTAGTGGGGAGGAGGTCCGGGAAGGGACAGTAGGCCAGGAAGACCCTGGAGGGGGCCCTGTGGCACCTGCCGAAGACCACCATGAGGGCAAGGAGACTGTAGCTGCAGCTCAGACGTGACATGGAAGTGAAGGGCCTCACCAGGGAGTCCTTGTTGGGTAGAATGCGCAAGGGGAGGGAGCTTCTATCAGGTGGGTTAAGGATATTGCCAAAAATTGGCCTGGGCCACCCACCTACAGAAAGGCAAACCATAGCATCTGGGGAAGGGGATGTGTTAAAACTTCCCATTGGTCCTCTCCATCTGCCCCCAATCCCATTATCTGCCATTTGGCTCTTAAGTCATCCCAGGCCCCAGAGAACGCTCAGCTCAGCCCATGGCCTTCCCCAAAGACTTGTGGAAATGGGCACATGGCTAGAGGTACTGGAAGCCTGAGCCATTGTGAAAACCAAGAGCTTTCCCCCAGAAAAATTGGACAGTAGGGCCCCTACCTGCATTGCATTACATTTTTCATTTACGGGAACAAGCTCCAACCAGGTGAACGTGTCCCCACTCAAGGGAGGTGGGAATCTTTAGCAAAACTCCTGTAACTCAAGAACCCGGGGGGAAGGGGTTGGTTGCCAGAGACCCTAGTTCCATCTATGATACGGGTGGACTGAACGTGGTCTACCTCCTTATGGAGACTCAGCCCCATTTCTGAGACCCACCTTGTGATTCCAGGTATCTACCCATAGGACCAGCTATCACTATGCCCTTTTACAATCAGAGCAGCCTACGATGCCCTGTGGCAGTGCTCAGGACATGGTGCCCATGCATACAGGCATAAAGTCCTGTTCAGAAATCCCTTATCAACCTTCCCTACCCACTGCTGGCTGAAAAACTACCAGACTTCTGTGTGGGCTCTGATGTCCTTAGCATGCAGTCCAAGTGACAGGCCTGGCTTCCTTCTCGTCACTTGTCAGTATGACTTCACTGACCTAGACAGGCCACAGGAACTCTTTTCCCGTAACTCTTTTTTTTTTTTTTTTTGAGACGGAGTCTGGCTCTGCCGCCCAGGCTGGAGTGTAGTGACCGGATCTCAGCTCACTGCAAGCTCCGCCTCCCAGGTTCACGCCATTCTCCTGCCTCAGCCTCCCGAGTAGCTGGGACTACAGGCGCCCGCCACCTCACCCGGCTAATTTTTTGTATTTTTTAGTAGAGACGGGGTTTCACCGTGTCAGCCAGGATGGTCTCGATCTCCTGACCTCATGATCCGCCCGTCTCGGCCTCCCAAAGTGCTGGGATTACAGGCTTGAGCCACCGCGCCCGGCCTCCCATAACTCTTAAGTAATCCACTAACACATTCCAGAAAACCTGCTGCAGAAGGTGGGCTTTAAAACCTTTAAAACCTAGGACCACGACGGAGTCCAATCCCTTGGCAGATCCAGCAAGATGCCTGGGGAGAGGGAGAAACAAACTGGGGGCTCCCAAAGGAGCCTAACTTAGCAAAGGTTCTCATCTTACACCCTCCCCTTACCCAAATGCTCTCCTAGTGAAAGGGCCCTACCAGTTAAGCAATCTCTTCTAAATAACAGGCAACCCCTAGATCTAAGAGCCAAGCGATTCTCCTGGCTCAGCCCCCCAAGTAGCTGGGAGATTGGGAGCCAATCACTCTTGAACCTTGTGGGAAAACTGTATGGGGAGTACGCTCCGACAGGCCTTGGTAAGCAAGATTCCAACACAGGAAGACAGCAAGATGGGGCCTAGAGTATGGGCCCTGCATGCTGTTAAGGTTGTGGTTAGGAATGGTGCAGTGCTGCAGGAGCTGGAAGAAGGGCACACCAAGGAACAGAGCACAGAGCAGCAGGGGCCGAAATGCTTTGAATTTCTGCCTTCAGTCTAAAGCTGTAGAATAGGGGGTTAAGAGCTTAGGCAGACCACAGGGAAGTTTACAAGCTAGAGCAAATATCTGGGCTGCTAATATCTGACAATAGTAGGCGAAATTTACTTTTTCTTCAAATACACATTTTTAAGAATCGATACCCAAGACCATCCTTTATTGTATTAGTTCATGGTAACTGCATGAAAAAACATTTCAGGAAGAATTTACAATTTCCGGTTTAAAGAACTTGCCCACGAACATAACCAATTTATGAAAGTCAGTTCATTAAAAGGTACGGCACTCCCTGTTGGGCAGGATGGCAAGGGACAAAGCTACAACGTGGCCTATGCCTTTGGAAGCTGAGGCAGGAGGACCATCTGAGCCCAGGAGCTTGAGACCAGCCTGGGTAACACAGTGAATCCGCCTCAACAAAAAAAAAATTTTAGCCAGATGTGCTGTGAGCTATAGTCCCAGCTACAAGGCGGGAGGATTGCTTAGGCCTGGGTGATTGAGGCTGCAATGAGCTGTGATTGTGCCACCACATTCCAGCCTGGGCAACACAGCACGACTGTCTCAAAAAAAAAAAAAAAAACCCAAAAAAACTCAAGAATGTAATGAATGATACCCAATGTGCCTTTTCTAGAAAAAGTTGCCAAATATATCTCTTGGATCTGCTGAGCATGTCCTCTGATACACAAAGCAATCACGTTTCTACACCCAATGTTGATGCTGGTTAAAGTTTTCATAATCCAAACTGGTCCTTGGGATTGACATCCTCTGGGAATATAACCTGCAAAGAAACTACATTTCAATCTCACTTTCTGCACCAACTGACAGTCAATCGCAGGGTAAGAGATATCTTCAGAAAACCGTAGGTTCACCACTACACAATCTGCCGGTAATTCCAGCTATTTTGGGTGATTTCATCATCTGATATCTTTTTTTCAAGCGAGTTTTAAGAAGATCAGCTGTTTATTAATTCCACTATTGGGTTGAGGGGGTCATTAGCCAGCTCAAGGCTTACCTTCTTTTGGGCTAAGATGCTGCTGCCAGCTCTAAAACGGCACTCTGTTCTCAAAACCTGGGGGAATGGAGAAGGTGCATACATCTTAGAGACCGCAGAGGAGAGGCATTTCTGATGACAGCGTCAATTAATGACTTTACAAATTTAAGTCCATCCTAACAAAAGCCCCTTAAGACCTTATTAGAGGTAATTTTTGTAAATTATTGAGGACTACAAATCTTAATTAGCTTCTCAGGGAGTTGTAATTTTTTTTTTTTTTTTGGGATGGAGTCTTGCTGTTGCCCAGGCTGGAGTGCAGTAGCACAATCTCAACTCACTACAACCTCCACCTCCCGGGTTCAAGCGATTCTCCTGGCTCAGCCCCCCAAGCAGCTGGGATTACAAGTACACACCACCACACCTGGTTAATTTTTGTATTTTTGGTAGAGACGGGGTTTCACCATGTTGACCAGCCAGGCTGGTCTTGAACTCCTGACCTCAGGTGATCCACCCACCTCAGCCTCCCAAAGTGATGGGATTATAGGCCACCGTGCCCAGCCAGCCTCAGGGAGTTGCAATCTACATTTCAGTCACATCACTTTAAACTTCACAGAGCTTACTTTTCCTTTTCATATCTGAGGAAAACTACATCTCAGCAGACAGGTAATTTGCCCAAGACTAAACAGCCAAGAGATAAATAGAGTAGCCCCTCTTTCTAGCTATTCCACCCTGGCTCCAATGCCACCGGAAACCAAAATCGGTATCTCTGGGATAGGCTACACTGTTACAAGGTATCAGGTTAACCAAATTCAATTGCCAACATTCCACCTGATAGCTAGGCATGGTCAGCCACTAGCCTCCCCATAGAGCAAGGCTTACCTTGTGGCAGGCTCCTTGCTCCAATACTCAGCTGCCAAACATGCTGCTGATATCTTCACGAATTTGCAACCTAGGTGAATATAGCAATTAGGTCACCGTTCAGACAAGTTTTTCTCCTGGGAACCAGCAAGTGGTGAAGACTTAACTGCAATCAGACAGGAGTAGTTTTCGTCAGTTATCGCTTCTGACGGCACTTCCTATTAGTGATTTCATCAGAGCAGTCAAGCACCTCACAACTCTCCAGTACTGCTCGAGATCTAGACCCTACCTGAAAAATCTAACGCTGCCACTGGAGACATTTCTTAACGAAGGAGTTTGCTTCTGCCTATCACTTTGCTTTAAATGCAGTTCTAGGTTAGGAATGTGGGCAGCCATCTCCAGTTTCTATTTCAGTTCCATCATATGCAATGATTTGACACATTACCCTCAAGTGTATAAAACACCTAAACGTAGAAAACTGTCAAAACGCCAATTTCCGTGCATTCAAGATGACGAAACTACGTTCCATGTTTAAACTCTACCCCAGAGGGCCTCTTACCTCATGGCTACCCCGTCTTCAGCACTCTGCGGTGGGCAGGCAATCTGAAAGAGGGAGTGAAGGACAGGAATTCAGGGCAGGTTCTGGCAGTTATGGTCAACTAAGTTGTAGAGGTTTCAGCGACTGCGGTCAGATAGACGTTAAACGTCGTCAGTTATCGCTTCTGACGGCACTTCCTATTACAAGTATCATCAGGACAGTCGAGTAAGTCTTCCAGTAATCCCGTTACAATCTTACCGACGTACCCCGCCCTCGGGGTACCCCAAACTGCAAGCCGACACCAACTTACCCAGCTCTCTCGGGTTTGCACACTCCCCACGGCGGGCCGGAGAACCGGGTCCCGGCCTTCGCAGACTCCAGGCTCTGGCAGATGTGGCCCTACCACAAAAGGGTGAGCCTCATCCACGGCAGCCGGATTCAGCCCCCCGCTGCCCTGCCAGGCTGTCCAACACCCGGCCGAAGGCCACGCGAGCGCAGGAGCCGGGGAGCCACGCCATCTCAACAGCTGCCCTCTGCCCTCTAGCCAGGCTTCCCGGGAACATCTCCCCAGAGACCACAGAAGCTCGAGCTCTTATTTGCTCTTGCCCTCAGCTACCACTCCCAGATTCGCGGAGACCCTACCTCCATAACAACGGGAATGAAAAGGTCACAACTTATGCGCTCCAGGCCCTTAAGGAGTCGGGATATCCTATTCGTCACAAAAGGAGGGGGACGCTGGCAAAGACTCATGGGAACTTTCCGCCAAGTAGCGATGCAGACCGGCGCGCAACCCAGGGCTCCCCCTCCTGTTGAGCCTATGGTCTCTTCCACAGCCCCAGGAATTCTGGGTCACAACACGCGGGCGAGTTCCAGGGCGCCTGCGCGAGGGCTGGAGCGCGCGTTTGGGCCCCGCCTCTGCCACGCCTTAGGTGGGTGGTTTAGGGCCAATTACTCATTCTCTGTGAGCTTCCGATTGGTCATCCAGAAGACGGAGACACCGGCGCCCCGGAAGATCACATAAGATAACACACGTGAAAGCCTACAGAACCGTGGCACACAGCAACCATTCATCCTAGTATCTTCTCCTGAACTATTGAGCATCGCCAAATACTTTCCCCACAGCACCATATCCACGGGGCCTCTCAAACCCCTGCGCATTGGCCACCCTCATTACTCCTTCAGCACGACCTTTAGGGAACGAGCTGACGTCTTATCTGGATCCACGTCCATCCTCTGTTCGCCTCTGGGGTAAAGCTCTGCCCACCTTCTTTCCTCTCATTCCTTGGGGCCTCATCCACCTATGCCCCTGTCTCACTTTCCATGGAAAACTCTCTCTATACTGAAGCTTTCCTTTCAGCCTATGAACATACTCAGCTCTCTCCTTGAAAAATAATGCATGCAACCACGTTTTGCACACACACGTTATACCAAGGGAGCGAAATTCATTTTGACTGCAAGAAACTGGGAAGGCAATCATAACACCTTTTGAGCTGGCCTCAGAAATAAGTGTAGGGTTTTTTGTTGTTGTTAGTTTTTGTGTGTGTGTGTTTTTTTTTTTTGAGACGGAATTTCTCTCCTGTTGCCCAGGCTGGAGTGCAATGGCGCGATCTCCGCTCACCGCAACCTCTGCCTCCCGGGTTCAAGTGATTCTCCTGCCTCAGCCTCCCGAGTGGCTGGGATTACAGGCATGTGCCCACCACGCCCGGCTAGTTTTGTATATTTAGTAGAGACGTGGTTTCTCCATGTTGGTCAGGCTGGTCTCGAACTCCTGACCTCAGGTGATCTGCCCGCCTCGGCCTCCCAAAATGCTGGGATTACAGGTGCCTGGCAAGAGTAGGGTTTTAATGGAGGAGGGGGCTTCCAGCAAGAGCCAGGTTAAGGGATCAAGCACGAGGTCCCTCGGCCTGCCTGTATTTGGGGAGAGTGCTAAGGAGGGAGGGGCAACAGAGGTGGAGGGGAGGAGGTGTCTGGAAATGCTTGGGCAAAACCGTGGGGGTCTCGGGATGCCAGCTAGGGCATTCTGTGGGTACTGGGGAGCCTCTCAGGCCTTCAGAGCACAAAAAGGACATGTTTGTCTTGTATCTTAGGAAGGTCTCTCTGGCTGCCCTGCAGAGAATGGCTTGGGAGGGGTGGGAATTGAGCAAGAAGCCCAGTAGGAAGAGAAAGCAAGAGAGGTGGCTTTAACGGATTTTCCCAGGTGCCTGCCCGAAAGCAGGGAGGGTGTGGAAAGCAAAGAGTGTCGTGGTGGAGACAGGAGAGGTGGCTGTTTGCACATGTCCACCACCATATATCTGCCACAATGGGCACAGCACCTCAGCCAGCTGCCTGCACCCAGGAAGAGGGCAGTCTCCAGACTTGAGGACGTGGGGCTGAGGGTGGGGACACAGCAGCTGAGGGTCTCTGTGCCCAGGCAAGGGCAGGAGCAACCTAGTCCCATACACAGACCTGTGTACACAGAGAGATGCAGACATTACCAGCTCTATGGGTCCCAGCAACTCTGCTCAAATAATGTTTCCAGAAGAGTTAGTGAAAATATATATTTGCCACCAGAATTCACTGGGACCCCAGAGCCAGCAGATGTGGCTGGAAATATCCCCTGCTCTGTCCTCTGGCCTCCTGCTGCATCTGGGCCATCAGTTGGACTGGAGAGGCTGGAGGGGCACATGGTCTTCCTCAGAGGCACCATCTTCATCCTTGGGTGGGGAAGCCAGGACAGGGTTCTTGAGAGTTCCTGTTAACAGATGGCAAGCACTGTGGCTTAACCCTTGAGTGTGTCCCCAGGAAGCAGGCACCAGGGAAACAAGGGGCCACAGTGATGAAAACACGTCATGCCATGGGGACAGCCTCAGCAGTTCTGGAGGCCAGCAGTCCCTCTCCCTGCTTCCCTCACTCCACAAGCATTTCCCAATCCCTTGCCATGTCAGGGGCTTCCCAACACCCCCAGGGGCTTAAAGTGCCTGGAGGTGACAGACTTTGTGTCAGAGATCAGAACACCTGAGACATGCTGGGGGGAGCTCAGAGGAGAGACGGGACCCATCCCGCAGGGGAGGTGGCAGATTTGGACACCCAGAGGGGAGGAAGAGCGCTTCTGACAGAGACAAATCCAGAGATGAACCAAGGAAAGCAAAGAACAAGGGGCACTGCAGACGCCACCTTGGATGGAGGTGTGGGGAGTGGGTTAGACAGCTTTGGGCCCTGACCTCGGCTCTGAGGAGTGCAGCCTTCCAGACAGCGGGAGGCATTGTGTAGTGTGGGCTGCATGTAGTTTTTGTCCACATTAGCAGGACTGGAATGGGATAAGGGTGCAGGCTGGGCCGCCCTGCAGTGGTACAGAAGCAGAAGTGAGAGGCAGGGCAGAGGGATGAGTGGCCGCCTGAGAGGTCAAGGACACTCAGCTCCAGGTGGGAGAGCCGGTATAGCGGGGGGAATAGGCTGAGACTCAAGGCCTTCTACCTGGGTAAGGAGGGGGTGGGGTGACATATATGTGACCTGCTGGGGCAACCCCAAGGCTGCTCCTGTTGGGAATGTCACATTGGAGGCCCCAGCAGGCAGTGGGGTGTGGAGTGCTTGGGGCAAGATGAGGGAGGGACAAGGTGACTTTCAGAGGTGACTTTCCTGGCATTGTAGTGAAGGGAGGGGGATGCAAAGAGAGGGTGAAGGGAAACCTGTTTGTATGTGAAGCCATGGTCACGGCCCAGGAGCCTGGGAAACCAGCAGGCTGTGGGGCAGAAGAGGCCAGAGTAGCCTCCCTACAACAGGGGCCATGGGCAACTCAGGAGGCTGTTGTGGGGCGCAACAGGCACAAGCAAGTGAAATTTGTCAGGAAAGAGATGGAGAAAGGAGAGGAGGTGAACCAGTGGAAGGTGGGAGCTATTGAAGGTTCTAGAAAGAAAGGGTATGCAGGGGAGACAGCTAATCCTCAGGCCTCTGAGGGTGGGAGGAAGGAACAGATCTTGGTGGAGGCAGCAGGGTGGGGACAGGAGGGGCCATCACTACACTAGAACAGAGAGGACACAGGCCACGGACATGGGGGAGGCATGGGAAGTGGTTTCTCAGAGGTAGGGGATTTGGGGTGTGAAGGGGCTGAGGGCCTATGCAGGGCAGTTCCTCTGAGGGTCCAGGGAGATGGTGCCTCTGTTGTGGGCTGCGCTGTGACACAGCCCTATTCCCCTGCTGAGTCCCCAGGCTCAGCCCAGGCCTGGCTGGCGACAGACCCTTGATAATCAATTGAATGGGCAAAGGGTGTGACTGACTGGCATCGGAGAGAGGGCAGCCAGAGGCTGGGCTAATGGAAGCGCTAACAGCCTCAGAGGTTTTCCCTGGTTCCTGCCTGAAAGCAAGGTGTGGGTGGAAAGGAAAGGAGGAAACCACTGTTTTAAGGAGGCAATCCCTGTAAGAGGAGCTGGTGTGCGGGGATCTGCAAAGTGACTATGAGGAGGTCTCTGGGTCCCGCCCCAGACTCTCCAAGGCTTTGCGGCCAAGCAGCAGAGACACACACCCCAGGGCAGAGGCTCCAGTCACCAGGCTACTCACGAGGGACACCTGCCCCTGACGGGTCCTCACACAGCGTAGGCAGCGTCTGCTCCCACGAAGCCCAGTTCACCTCCTCCACCCTGAGGGCAACAGAGGAGCTCTGAGGTTTGCCTGCTTTGACCGCGCCCCCCCACCCCAGAGAGGGACCTGGACCCCCAAATTGGGAGACTACGCAGAGATTCTCTGGTGGACACAGAGGCTCTGAGGAGGACAGGCTTTCTCTCTGCAGGGTTCTGGGCCACCCACTTGGAGCCCTGTCCTGTGAGGCAGGAGCCCACTTGCAGGAATCAGCATCCATCGCTTCCGGCTGCTCACAGCAGCCTGGGTTGCCCAGAGCAACTAGAAAAGAGGAATTCAGATCAGGTGTATCTGTGCTCCCGGGTTCTGGGGACTTTCACGGCTGTTCCTCACGCCTGAGACTCGGCTCTCTCTGCTCATCTGCTCTCTCTGCTCTCTCTGCTCTCTCTGCTCATCTGCTGCCTCACGACAGTATCTGTTTTTAGCTGTGTGTTTGTCACTAGGTTCCCTCTCCCAGTGTCCCAGCCTTTGCTGGACACAGAAGGGCACGTTCTCCATGGAAGGGGTTGTAGCTCCGAGATCAGGCTGGCAGAATTGGGGGTGGGGGGACACAGAGCAGCCAGGGCAAGGCTAGAGTGCTGGGAACCCAAGGGTCCCTCTGACTTCTTGGCCTCCTTACTGTACCACATTTCAGGCTACAAGGAGGAGTCTGAGATCACCAGGAGGGGATCTTCAGTTTAAGCCACTAGGACAGGCAGATGGCCAGTCATGTGGCAGCCATGGCTTGTGAGATCCAGACCCCTGACCTCACCTGCTCAGGCTCAGTCCCTGGTGCTCTTTGTACCTACCCCTCCCACCAGACCTGGCTCCTGGCAGCTGTGCCCTGCACTGCAGTGGGGGCCCCAGGGATTGCTGGACAGGAGGGCCAGGAGACCCTCTTGCCACTCACTCACCTGAAGCACCAGCGCTCATCGGCGCTGCCATCTGGCTTAGTGCCGACGGTCAGCATCACGCCTGCCCGCTGCTGCTTCTTCCTGCACCACCAATAGCCATTCTCCATCTCCAGGACAGAGATGGCTTTCTGGGGACAAAGGATGCATCAGACAGAACGTCCTGGGACCCTGCCTGGGGGCAAAGGCACACAAGGCAAGCGGAGCAGGAAAGTGC